CAACCCATCCGGAAACCCTGCCCATGAGAGTTGACGGAGAAAAGGGACGAAGGGACACATGTAGTGAAACAGACCGGGCAACCAGGCTGAACAGAGAGTTCTTTGGAAGCGAAGCGGTGGTTTTGGAGGACTTTATTGGGCCATCCCTTGCGCCCGCGCGCGGGCGAGGGAGGGGAAAAGGAGGAGGAGGAGGAGGGGCAGGGGGAGGAGGAGGAGGAGGAGGAGGAGGAGGAGGAGGAGGAGGAGGAGGAGGAGGAGGAGGAGGAGGATGGGGATGGGCAGGAGGAGGAGGAGGAGGAAGAGCAGGAGGAGGAGGAGGACGACGATGACCACGACGACGAGGAAGAGGAGGAAAATCAAAAAAGACGACGATGAGGGCAATGACGAGAAAGAGGACGATGAGGAGGAGGGCATCGAGGACGAGGACAGAGCCTTCAAAACCGCCTCTATTGGGATTCCTTTGGGGATGATGGGATCTTCTAGGGTTTTTTTGGCGGGTGTCGGGACCCTCTTGGGGCTTTTTGCGGGCCTGATGGGAGCCCTGGATGGCCGCTTGGGGCTATCACGGAAGGGGTCGGTGAAAGGAGAGGGGGTCGTACCAGTTTGACCCCCCTGGGGTTGTTAAAATCGCCCTTCTCTTGGGCCATCTTGGGGCCATCTTGTGACCGCAAAAACGCATCGAAATCGAAAAGGCGAGAAGGCAACAATCACTGATTTCCCTTGGGGGAATTTGGCCTCTTGGGGGTCCTGAAGGGGCTCCGAAACCGTCTTGTGGCTCTCGCCTGGTTTCTTGAAGGTCTGTCTGAAGCTATCTTGGGCCATCGCCGGCTACTTTGAGCCATCTTGGGGACCATCTTGGAGCATCGGAGGCCCTCTTGGAGCCATCTTGTGCCATCTTGGGCGCTCTGACGCGTCGCGACCCCCCTCAAAAACATCTCATGAAGGGGGGGGCGAGGTAAACCTCCCTGGAGGCAAGAGGGTTTTGGAAGAGGAGAGAAATTATTCGTTAGACCACTTGAGCCCAAAGGGCTGGTGGGATTTCCTTTCCCGCCAGCGCCCAATGTGCGCGATCAATCGGCGGGCCTGGCACGGAAGACGTCCAGCGTGCCACATGTCGGGGGCGGCCACGAGGGGGGTGATGACTAGGTGGGGGGGGTGGATCTCATGGCGTGGGCCATGAGATTTCCCCAGATTTCATAGGGCTTCTTCCTATTTCATTACGTCTCCCCCCCCCCCTCTTGGGCCGCGCACGTGCCGCCAGCCATGATTTGCGCCCCCCCCCCCCCCCCCCTTTTGGACGCCCTTCTCGTGGCTGCCCCCGAATGTGCTGCTTGATAGACTTTGAGAGGACCGTTGAGCAAATCCGACGTTATGGATCGATGAAGTCGTCGGGCTACGGGGCCACTCGGCCTCCTCAGGCCATGAACCGCCGAGCTTGGATGCCAAAGTGGGTGGAATAACCTGGAGAGATCCCCTGCTTTCCTATGATACTGGCCGTCTGCTGGGGGTCCATTTGCAGCTCTCTTGGGGCGTCCGGGGCAGGCTTGGACCCCATGTGGGTTCTTTTTGTTGGCCTTTGGTATTCCTTTTGAGACATGTTGGTGCCGTCTTCTTTTCGGGCCGTCTTCGGGCAATCTGGGGCGGTGTTTGGCGTTTCTTCGTTCCTCTTGGCAGCATGTTCATCAATTTTTGCGACTTAGCGATGAAGGGTGGTGGGCTGGCGAGATGTGCCAAATGGCTTTTGAGGAGGTATCGAGAATTCGTTAAACTGAAGGTTGACCCACAAGTCAACCGGCGGCATGCCCAGCGCGCCCAGCATCCACGCCGCTCTCTTGGGGCGTCTTGGAGAGCCACCTCGGCCGTCTGTTGGACGCCATCTTTGCACATGCTGGCCGTTTTGGCGGCCCTCTGCGGCCATCTCAGCCGTCCTGGAGGCCGTCTTGACGTCCCGAAGGCGCTTTGGCGCAGGCTCGTTGGGCCCCTGCGGTTTTGGCCGAAGGGCCGCAGGAGAGCCTCTTTGAATTCATCGAGGGGGGGGCGGCGGATCCAGTGGGCTTTTGCCCATCTCGCCATCGTGCCCAGGATGTGTGTCCATGCGCAGTGGGCACGATTGAAGGCCGCACTGTATTCCCATCCATGTTCCTAGAGTAAGTGAACGAAGAATGGCAGAAACATAAAAACTCTGAGGTCCGCGCGGATTTCTCGGACCGGCACTGGGACCCCCTAGCGGCGCCTGCGGCGCCGCCCCTGGCGTGCTCCGCGCGCCAAGGAGGGGGTCCAGCGCCGATCCGAGAAATCCGCTCGGACCTCCGAGTTTTTATGGTTATGTCATTCTTCGTTCCCCTGTAGAGAGCCGTGGAATGCTCCCTGGAACGCCAGTGGGAAGGCTGCGGCTTCCCAGGATGTGAGCACTATCCGGGCTTTTTGGGGCCTTTTGGGGGCTTTAGATTTTAGGAGCCTTTTTCGGGGCCTCGTCGCCGGCGCGCTGGAGCCGTGGGGAGTCTTGGGGCCATCTTGGGTGGAGGATGGGACGGATTTTCAATCATGGTCCTCGGGTCCATTCGCGGCCCTCTCGGTTCGGGTTCCTCTTGGAGTCATCTTCGGGGCCTTGCAGACCCATTTTGTGGTCCATCTTGGGCCTCTCTTCGGGGTCTCTTGGGGCGTCTTGGACCCTCTTGACACCACAAAGGCTGAATGCACACACACACACACACCATACAAATGCGTACAAGGATGCTGGGTACACGTGACGCGGCCGGACTGGGTCCCTGGCTTGGCTTGGGCGAGAGTTGTATACACATGCTTTTCCAGTGCTCGGCTCTCCTCTGTGGCCGTGTACGCCCAGCCTCCGCATGGGCATCCAGTGCGTGGCCCCTGGAAAAATCACATGTGAATCCAGCCATTGGAATTTCCAGCAACTTGGTAAACCACGCTGCCTGATGTTTCATGTTTTGGAGCTCGGCGCCTTGGCGCGAACGGCCGAACGACCTCTGTCGCGGGACTCTCTGGCGACACGGTTGGCCGCCACAAAAACTATCGGTATAACGTTGACTTCGCAAAGGCGGTGCAGAACAGAATGTGCAGCGCGTTGGCTTCTTGATCCGATCTCAGGACCATCATTTGGGCCTGGCCCATCGTGGGGCATGTTGGAGGCCTGTATTCCAAATCGCGGTTTCGAGGCCTTGGGCAAAGTTATGCGAGAAGCCCCGATAGCCCGCAGGACCGCCCACGAGCGTCGGGCCGTGGAACCCGCCGTCTCCAGGAACTTTCCAGGCATGTGTTCGCACCTCAGCTGTGATTGCAATCGGACACTGCGGTGCGTGCCCATTATGGTTCGGAAGCACGGCGGCGGATTTGTAGGGGGGGTTACAGAGGAGCAATGTAGAAGATCATGTCGCCTCTCACGATGTCTCACGTTTCACTGAACCACGTGCTCTGGCACGTGCGCAACATCTGCATATGCACAAATGAAACACAACTCCATAACCAAACGCGCGCATTCGCACACACGTGTTGGCAAGCAACCGACGAAACAACATGCGCGTTGCATGCGTTCGTGGCCGAGCTACGCGTGCGAAACAGATGCCCCGACGTGAGAGGGAGAGAGAGTGAGAGAGAGAGAGAAACAACAAAAGAGAGAGAGAGAAAGCATGTTTCGCAGGCGCTTACTAAAGAAACGTGGCCCCCCTCCCCCCAGAAACCCCGGGGGAAATAAACTCGCTCCACCCACCCCTGGGCTCGAACCCCCCTTCCTCTGAACCAAGGGTGGCGGGAAAGGCTACGACGACGACGCGACAGCGGCGGCGCCGACAGCGAAGACAACAACGGCGACGAGAACGCGCCGACGACGACGCCATTGCCGACGCCGACGCCGCCGCCGCCGACGACGACGACGACGACGTCGACGCCGAGCACGGTGCCGACGACGCCAGCGACGACGCAGCTGCCGACGCCGACGCCGAGCACGACGCCGAGCACGACGCCGAGCACGACGCCGAGCACGGCGCCGACCGACGCCGACCCCGATGCCGACGCCGACGCCGACGCCGACGCCGACGAGCCCGCCACCGAGCACGACGCCGAGCACGACGCCGACGTCGACGACGACGACGACGACGATGCCGACGCCAACGCCGCCGACGAGCACGACGCCGACGCCCACAACGACGCCGAGCACGACGCAAACGCCGGCGCCGGCATCAGCGACGACAACGACGCCGAGCACGAAGCCGAAGACGACGCCGACGACGCCGACGCTGATACCGACGGCGACGGTGGCGCTGACGCTGACGCCGACGCCGACGGAGAGCATGACGCCGAGCACGACGCCGAGCACGTCGCCGACGCCGACGACGACGACGCCGCCGCCGACGACGACGACCGAGCCGACGCCGACAACGACGCTGAGCACGAAGCCGACGCCAGCGACGACCAGGACGACGTCGAACACGGCACCGAAGACGGCGCCGAGCACGACGCCGCCGACTTCGACGCCGACGACGATACCGACGATGACGACGACGCGGAGCACGACGCCGAGCACAACGACGCCGACAACGGCGCCGGCGCCGACACCGACGCCGACCATGCCGAGCACGACGCCGAGCACGACGCCGACGCCCATACCGACGCCGACGCCGACGCCCATACTGACGACGACGACGTCGACGTCCGGCGCTGTCACCAACCCCGACGACGACGCCGACGCCGGCTCCGACATCGACGCCGACGTCGACGACGGCGTCGACGGCGGCGACGACGACGACGACGACACCGTCGCCGATGCCGACGACGACGAGCACGACGCCGACGCCGACGCTGGCGCCGGCGACGACGACGACGACGACGACGGAGGCGGCGGCGGCGGCGGCGGCGACGACGAAGACCCCGACGCCGTCGTCGTTGCCCCTCCCCCCCATGGTTCCGAACCCGGGGGACCCTGCAAGCGACCATACAAAGCGGTCTCTCCGACGTGATGGTCTCACGCCGTCTTGCCCGAGGACTGGAACGGGCAGGAAATCTACAACTCGCCCCACTTCCTCGCCCTGCCAGCCGGGGAGCGCGTGGTCGTGGTGAGCCGCAACGCGGACGGCTTCCTCTGGGGCAAGGTCGAGGGCGACGCGTCGCTGCCCGAGCGCTCGGGCCGCGGGCGGCCGAAAGCGCCCCCCCTGGAACGGAAGCGTTCAGAAACTCACGGGCACCATCACGTCAGCTTGTGATTCACAAACGCCCCCCCCCCCCCCACCCCTCCTCGGGGCTGATGAATAGATTCCGAGGGGCGCGATACTTTTTTGGAATCACGCGCGCCAGGGGGAAGGAGGAGAGAGGAGGGGGAGAGGGGAGGGGAGGGGGGATGGGGTAGCGCCACCCCGCGATTCGCCCGAGCAGGGACACCTTTTTTCTAACACGCGCCCCCCACGGATTTGTTAAGCACAAGCTGACCTTACTCAGGAAGGGGCCGACCACCGCAGGCGATTGTTCCTCGCAATCCCCGAGCTCCGCCCGCAAAGTCTGGCCGCTCAGAGAAAGGGGGGGGAACTCCAGGGGGCTCGCCGGACACACCTCCATCGAGGACGGATGCCCGCCATCGCACATCCCAGGATGGGGCCCCACATTTTTTTTAGTCAAGGCGGACCCCCCCCCACATTCGGGGATTGGGGTCGGCATTGGGATTGGGGATTGGGTTGGGATTAGGATTGGGTCAAGTCGAGAACCCCCCCACATTCGGGGATCGGGATTGGGATTGGGGATTGGGGATTGAGGAACATCCCACATTCGGGGAGTGGCGTGACTTCGGCTGGCCAGGTGGTCGGTCATCGGCTCACAATCGCCTCGAGCAGACAGACCGCCGAGGACTGCCAGAAACCGCCCGAGACCACCGAGGGCCGATGTTCAGGAGGGGAAAAATACACAGACACAATTAGATGTCGATCCCCAAGAAAGTATGGGCAAATATGGGAAGTGAGGGGGAAGACGCACAAAAAAGCATAAGAGAATATGGAGAATCCTGGGATGTGCGTGGGCCCCTTCAGATGAGTAACATTTCGTCCGTGACCGAACGCGCTCGACGGGTTCGCGCTGCGTCGGCGAATCTGGGCGCTCGAGGTTCAGGGCCATCGGCAGCTGGATCCAGGCCAACCTTGAACGACCTGCGCGGTGTCAGGGAAACGCCCGCGTCGTCACGGCAGGGACCAGCCGCAGGACCCACAGAAGACATCCGTACTGCCCGAGCGCGTTCCGCGATTCGCAACATGCCTACTCGCAAATGTCAGAAACAACTTTGTTCGCTTCTATATAATGGATCGTACATCCCCAGTGGCGCATCCATGACATTTGCGAGTACTTGTTCTGCGAGTCGTGGAACGCGCTTGTCACATGCATGCTTGGTCACGGACATCCTGCGCCCTGGAATGGTGTACAGACCTTGGGGTTGGCTGGGGAGGTGCCGAATTTGTTGCTTCTGGCAGCACGCCGATGGCGCTATCGCTGCTGTTGTTGCCCCTCCTAAAGAAAAACACACCATGCCAGGACCCAGGATGGCCCTGGCAAGGCCCCCGGCTGTCGTGTACGGGTGCACATCTGGTCGTCGGGGCTGCCCAGGGCCCAGGCCGCCCAAGTGGGGCCAGATTAGATGTGGCCGGAGGATCGCGCTGCATCGCCGATGCATCAGGGATGCGGCGCGATCTGGAGCAATATTTGTGTTCCTTCGCACGTCGCCGATGCCTCGGCGATGCGAAGCGAGCCTCTGGCCTTGCATGCTCTGGCCACAGTTGGACGTCCTCCGGTCCGCGATCCTCCCTCCTCGAGGATCGAGGAACGGCGACGAGGCTCGAGGTCCGATCCTCCAGGATGGATGCGCGAGGATGGAGGCTCGAGGATGGAGGCTCGAGGATGGAGGCTCGAGGAAGGAGGCTCGAGGATGGAGGCTCGAGGCTCAGGCAGGGAGGCTCGAGGAGGGAGGCTCGGGGCTCGAGGACGGAGGCGTCGAGGCTCGAGGTCCGCTCCTCTACCCTCGACATCCGCCCCGCCGGGGCGGCCGCCGGGAGGCTGGTTCGGTGGCCTGGGCTGCCTGGCCACCCTGGAGGTCGCCCTCCCGGTGCCGCTGGGCCCGCTGCGGCAGGGCCCGCGGCCACCCGAGGGGGGCGAGCCCCCGCCATGGGTCGAAGGCGCGGGCCGGGGCCTCCCGCGGCGGCGGCGGCGGTGGGCGGCCACGGGCGGCCACGGGCAGCGTCGGGGGCGGGCGGCCACGGCGGCGAGGGCGGCGAGCGCGGCGGCGGCGGCGCGGACGACGGCGGCGACGCATGACGTCAGCGACGACGGCTGCGGCGGCGAGGGCGGCGAGAACGGCGGTGGCGGGGGCACAGGCAGCGACGACTCCCCCGCGGCGGCGGCGAATGGGGGGGCGGGCGGCGCTCATCCTGGGCCGTCCTGGCGGTCTCTGGCAGGCCTCCAGGGGGGCTGCCCTGGAAGCATCCCGTAGCCGAAATGGTCCCCCCGAGATCTCTGGAACGGGTCCTGGGCCCCCCGTAGGCCTTAGGCCAAAAAGTCGGGGGGCGGCAAGGAGGGGGGTGATTGGTCCCCCCGAGATCTCCAGAACGGGTCCTGGGCCCCCCGTAGGCCTTAGGCCAAAAAGGCGGGGGGCGGCAAGGAGGGGGGTGAAGACCAGAAGGGGCTTGATATCATGGCCGGGGCCGTGGTATCTCTCCACACCATGCCGTGATGAAAGGTTGCCAAATATTCGGCACGATGGCGCAGCGTGAATCGGAGGTGTCCCGTTATGCGCGCGAGGCCTGGTGCAATGTGACGGGAGTGCAGCTTTGCCGATGAAGGGCGGGCATCGTCGGGCTCGTATCCCCATTTGAATGTTTACTCGGTTAGATTGGATGGCGGTTCCAAAACGGCGAGCCAATGTTGTTTCCAAACAGTAGAATTATGATGTTCCAACTTATTTTAGCCTTGAACGCTAGAAAGAATTTCGAGCACCTGAAAAGTACCCCAAAACTCACGGGTTTTCACGCGTCGGGCCCTGGGGGGGCACTCGTCCAACACCGTTTCGACACTCTTTCGACACTTTTCCGGGTGCTCGAAATTATTTCTGGAATGTGGTCCTTGTGTACGATGGGAGCAACAGAACAGTAGAAGTTGGTTCGTAGCAGTCGAAAAGTTGGCGTGTCGTGC